AAAATAATACTAGCAAAAATTATGCTTAATGGGACGTCAGTCTTACTGGAAGGGTAATGCATAAAAAATACCATGAGGATTTTAAAGAAAATCAATATATGCAAAGTTAATTTTATCTCAAGATGCAGAACCCAAAAAAATTACACAGTTGAGAATAGCAAACTGTTAAGAAAAATAAATGTATGAAGGACTTGAGAGCATGCAACTGATATAAATATTTTCATATCAATGTAGCAATACACATATATCATTTTAACAAAAATTCAAGTTTCACAATCATAACAAAAATTTTTAAGTAGAAATCGACATTCCAAACTCGCCACGAATAAAATTGAAGCGATCCTCGCTTAGGGGTTTTGTGAAAATATCTGCCAATTGCTTGTCGATGTTTACAAATTCAAGTACAATATCCCCTTTTTGAATGTGATCTCTTAAAAAATGATGTCGAATTTCAATATGTTTTGTTCGTGTGTGTTGAACCAGATTTTTGCTTAAATTGATGGCACTAGTATTATCACATTTAATAGGGATATGATCATAATGCAAATCAAAGTCCTCTAGTTGTTGTTTCATCCAAAGTATTTGGGCACAATAACTTTCAGAAGCTATATATTCAGTTTCGACCGTTGATAAAGCAACATAATTTTATTTTTTGCTAAACCATACTAATGAGTTATCAAGAAAGTGACAAGTGTCACTGGTGCTCTTTCTATCAAGTTTGCATCCGACAAAGTCGGCATCCGAGTAACTAATTAAATCAATGCAACACCTCTAGGATAATACAGTCCCAAATTTTGAGCGCCAACAAGATATCTAAAAATTCTTTTAACAGCACTGAGATGTGATTCCTTAGGATTTGATTGATATCTAGTACACATACAAACACTAAACATAATATCGAGTCTACTTGCAGTTAAATAAAGAAGTGAGCCGATCATACCTCGATATTTTGTTTGATCAATGAACTTACCTTTTTTTTATCCTTGTCTAGTTTAATGGATGTGCTCATAGGTGTTCTAACTATTTTTGAGTCATACATACCAAACTTTTTGAGTAGTTCTTTTGTGTACTTAGCTTGGTTGATAAAAATTCCTTCCTTACATTATTTGATTTGAAGCCCAAGGAAATAATTTAACTCCCCTATCATGCTCATCTCAAACTCACCTTGCATACACTTAGCAAATTCTTTACACAAGGTTTCATTAGTAGCACCAAATATAATGTCATCCACATATATTTAAACAATAAATAAATCATCATTTTTAGTTTTAACAAAAAGTGTTGTGTCAATCGTTCCTTTAGAAAAATTATTTTCAATAAAAAATTTACTAAATCGTTCATACCATGCCCGTGGTGCTTGTTTCAAACCATATAAAGCTTTTGATAGTTTAAAAACATGATTTGGAAAAACATGATCTTTAAAACCTGGGGGTTGTTTAACATAAATTTCCTCATTTATAAAACCATTAAGAAATGCACTTTTTACATCCATTTTATAAAGTTTGAAATCTCTAAAACATGCAAATGCAAGTAATATGTGAATGACTTCTAATTTAGCAACCGGAGCAAAGGTTTCATCGAAATCAATACATTCTTCTGGATTGTATCTTTGTGCAACAAGTTTAACCTTGTTTCCTATAATTGTGCCGAATTCATCAAGCTTGTTTCGAAAGATCCATTTGGTATCGATAATGGTATGATCTTTAGGTTTTGGCACAAGTTCCCACACTTTGTTTCTTTCAAATTGGTTAAGCTCTCCATGCATAGCTATCATCCAATGTTCATTGAATTCGGTTTCTTGAAAGTTTTTAGGCTCAATATGTGAGAGAAAAACCAAGTTACTGCAAATGTTTCTAAGTGAAGAGCGAGTTTTAATACCTTTTGTAGGGTCACCTAGGATTAAATCCTTAGGGTGATTATGAACAAACTTCCATTCTCTTGGCAAATCATCATTGTTTCCTCCTTCTTCTTGAGGTGGAAGAATAGGTTGTTCAATCTCTTTGTTCAACTTACATGGTTGATTCTCTTCTTTGTAGATACTTGAATCTTCCATATTTGGTTCCAAATCTATATTATCACTAACAATTTGCTTTTGAGCAGAGATGTTAGTTTCATCAAATGCCACATACTCTCTCCAAACTCAAGTTGGTTAGTTCCTATCCCCCTTGAGTTTGCGGGGGGCTGTTAAAACCTACCATCACCTACTCCACCTACTACACCTACCACCACCTACTACCACCTACTACACACCTACCACTACCACCTACTACCACCTACTCCACTACATCTCCTATATAAGGAGCCCCTCACCATTTGTAAAAAATAACATATAACAATCAATAATACAATCATTTCTCTTTATACATTAAATTTCTACATGGTATCAGAGCAGGTTTAGAATCTAGTAGTTTCGCTTCCCCGGCGGGCGGCAACCTCACCTTAGCCGCCCGCCGGACCTCAACCTAGTCCGCTAGAATGTTCTACACATACCTTGAAATTTCTTCTAGTCCACCACCTTCACGCCCAACTCCTTCGAGTTGCTGTCCTCGACTCACCCAGTCAACCTATCACCACCAATTTTCTTCCTTGAAGCTTCCTCTGTTCTCGTTCCATCCCAGTCTTTGCATTTCACACAACACAAGTTAAAAACTTTCGACACTTCCCAATTTCTCTTCACACAATTCTTTACTCTCTCTCTTTAGCTTGTCGAAGCTGTCTAACACACTCCTTGAGAGCTCCATCAAGATTGTTAACTCGATCTTCAAGGGATGAATTCTTTTGAGTTGCAACCTCAAGTTGTTGCTTTAAAGCCAACACTTCACTTTCAACCTTTTCCCATCCTGAGACAGCTTCCTCTGCAACTTTTGCATGCTGCTTTACCAAATCTTCTTTGGCCCTGATGTTGAGAAGAGCTTCTGAGAGCTTCTCTGATAGAGTCTTCACACTATCATTAAGTTCATCGCTGGGCGCAGCTTTAGATGTGACTTCTGGAGGTTGAGTATGATGGTTTAACCATGCCTGATCATCAGAGAATCTTTCAGAATGAGACGACGCCGATCCCGAGCTCTCAGTTTCACCAGGACTTTTCTCGGAAGACTTCCTCCGCTAGAGCCAACTCCGGTGGTCCATCTCAATCTCCAGCAAAAATAACCCCTCACAACAGGTCTGGTGCCGCCATGGAAGCTGGATCTGAAGCTTAGAGAGAGAGAGAGACTCGTCTCGGTACATTGGACTCCAACTTGTCGAGAGAGAGATAGAGCTAGAGAGAGGGAGTTGCAGAGCAAGAGGTGCCGAGAGGTTGATGCCGTGTGTAGTGTGTTATCTGTGTGCTGGGTCTTTGACTCACAAAATGCTCTCTTTCCTGCCCGTGCACCACTCGGTTCCCCACTATCCCTTTTCATTTTTAATTTATGTTATGTTTTTTACTTTTCCTCATCAGTATGTTCACACTCTCTTCAACTTTCTTTTCTTTTTTATATATACATACATATTTTGTTTATTATAATACCAACCCACATTCCCCCTTGTGTTATTCTTTCCACCAAATACCACCCACCTTGTCTCCACTCCTGTCTGACTTTTCCTCTTTTTTTCTTTCTTTTGCCTTTTCTTATCATGACACCCACATGACATGTCCCTCAGCCTTTTGACCAGTTTTTTTTTTTCTTCTACTTCTTATCCCTGTATTTATCATTTTCGTTTTTCATCTATATATATATATATATATATCTATATATTTCCAAAAAAATAAAAAATAAAAAATCACCCAACTGTTTTTCATATGACCCATCCACACATATTTTTATCTATTTTCTTTATCCATTGTTTTATTTTATTTTATTTTTATTCTTAAACAAAACCACAACTTTCCACAAACTTGTCATTTCTTCATGCCGGGGATCAACCCCGATCACAATTTTACACCACAAAAAAAAAAAAAAAAACAACAACAACAACAACCAAACAAAACCAAAACAACCACATCCACAAGCGGGATTTTTTCTTCTCTACTCTGCCGCCGGTCTCTTCTTCTTGCCTCCGTCCTGGGCGGCCCTTGACGGTGCTGCCTCCGTGTTTCCCACGCCGCAGGGCACGATCACTCCTCCCTGCTCCTCCACTGTAGCATATGGCGGCCTTCCAAATCGGAACATAACGGTGGCCTTCCGCTTCAGCTCCTTATTTTCCGCTTTTAGCACACATATCTCTGCTCGCGCATCCTTATACATGCGTTGGAGCAGCGCCAGTTGGGCGTTTAACTGCTGCACCTCATTTGTCCTACTCTGCAGCCGGTGCGACAAGTTTGTGACCGCAGTCATGGTTTCCACACATGACTTCAATGTTTACTGATTGGCTTCAATATCCGTTTGCACTGCCATTTTTTGCTCCACAGACCGCATAGGAAAGTTCAACGGAGCAAACCCTGGGGCGCTTAGTTGAGATTCAAGGGCCACCGTACTAGTTATCTCTCTTGTGGACTCATTGAGGTCGGGAAAGAGAGTGAGCAGACCACGGGACGAAGAGGCCATATTCTGAGTAGCTGAACGGGAAGAAGAGGCCATGTTATGGATTGCAGAGTGTTTCAGAATGTAAATGTTCAGATGTTTCAGAATGAAAATGTTCAGAGGTTTCAGACTGGTTTGGTTTACACAGCCTCCGCATCGGTTTATATTGATAATGACGAAGAGGACCACACGCGCTCTGTCAATCACGTGCATCGCCACGTGTCTGGCGCACCTTTTGATGGCTCGCCGTTTGATGCTTCTGTTGGGCACGACTTTTGATGCAGTGGGCGTGCCTTTTGAGGGCGCGACTTTTGAGGGCTCGATATATATATCCATGTATATATATTTGGGCAGCCTATCTACACCATCATACGGTTAGCTTTTACAACGGTCCGACATGACCCCCTAAACTGTCCCGACATTTGATTCCGGTTAGCTTTTCCCACGGTCCGACATGACCCCATAAACTGTCCCGACATTGATTCCGGTTAGCTTTTACAACGGTCCGACATGACCCCATAAACTGTCCCGACATTTGATTCCGGTTAGCTTTTCCAACGGTCCGACATGACCACATAAAACTGTCCCGACATTGATTCCGGTTAGCATCTCCATCGGTCCGGTGTGACCTCGTCAACTGTCCAGACTTTATTTGCTACAACGGTCTGCCACAACCATACAGTGTCCTCTACAACGTTATGACACCTCCATACAGTGTCTTCACCAATGGTCTGACACGACCATACAGTGTCTCCTATCCTCTTTTATTTTATGTATTAGTTTATTTTCTTGTTTTGTTACTCTCTCCAAACTCAAGTTGGTTAGTTCCTATCCCCCTTGAGTTTGCGGGGGGCTGTTAAACCCTACTACACCTACCACCAAACCTACCATCACCTACTCCACCTACTACACCTACCACCACCTACTCCACTACACCTACATCTCCTATATAAGGAGCCCCTCACCATTTGTAACATTACATAAATTAATAATACAATTCTCTATTTCTCTTTATACATTGAATTTTAACTCTATACCACAGGCAACATGATGAAGGAGAAGACCACCATGACAGAAGAGCCAAACATCAACTTTAAGAACAACAGCAAGTCGTGCCAACTCAAATGCCAGAGGACCGCAGGTCTTAGCAAAGTTAATCTGGGAATCACCCCCTGTTGCCGCTGTCCTTCACTAGATTCCAAGGCCCCTAACGATTTTGGGATATTTTCTGATCTTTCATCCTCTCAGACACACCAACCCAACCAACAAAAGCTTCATCCCAGTTATGTTCAGAGTCATTTAAGTACTCCAAGAAGTCCATACACTCATCAAATCCCCCAGAATCAACATATCTAAAATCCCCCTCTATATTCATGGTCTCATGGTTTCCATTGACCTGGAAAACAGCTCCACCATTAGCTTTTGCTTGGATATCCAACGAACGCAACAAGAATAAGATAGCTATTTCACCTTCATCTCAATCAAGTATATCTCCAAGCTGAATCAATACCGTCTCTCCACCAGTCCACAAATCTCATCCATCAGAACTCAGGACACCAGCCATCTCGAGTGCACATCTTGCCTTCTCATTTGAAGGGAGAATGGTCTGGGCTGAACGACGGGAAAACATTCTATATCCCTCCGACGTGTAAACTTCCTTCAAATTCAATATTTTTTTTTTGTCAAAAGCAACTGTTTTTCCCACATCATAATTTCTGACGAGCACTTGTCTCTCTGCACTACCGAAACATCATTATGCATATTCCACACTCTCTTTGCTTTCTCTTCCGCCCCCGAAAATTCCCTAACCATGGTCATCACAATTTACATATATAATTTAGGTCAGAGGCTACTTGGATTGTGTGATATTTTTGTTCAAACCCACTCAAATTTAATTTGGATTTTTGCTCGAACTTGTATCAAATTTAAAAATATTTTTCCCAAGCCTTAAAAAATTTCAAACTGAATTTAAGTTGCTCGGATTAACCTCGCCCAAATTACACCTCACATCTATGAAATAACTTTTCGTGATGGAGATGAGCAAGTTGTGAGAAACAAGACAAATGCGTAACGGAAGGACAAAAAAATGTAAATTATGTAAATGGTCCCCGTAGTTTATACGATATGTTAATTTAGTTCATGTGGTTTTAATTTATTTGATTTTACCACTTAATTTAATAGATTGTGTTATGTTGGTCCAACAAATAATAGCTGTCAGGTTTGATGGACAGAAAGTTGTCACGTGCTCAAATGATTTGCCAATTTGGTCCCTGTAATTTACACGATATATCAATTTGGTCCCTATTATTTTAATTTGCTCAATTATTACAGAGACCAAACTGACACATTGTGTAAACTACGTGGACCAAATTGAGTTTCCGTCTACCAAACCTAACGGCTATTATTTATTGGACCAATATGACACAATATGTTAAATTAAGGGGCAAAATCGAACAAATTAAAATAACATGGATTAAATTGACATATTATATAAACTACATGGACCATGTACATAATTTATCCCAAAATAAATTCCCCAAAACAATGAAATTTTGAAAACACTACAAAGGGCACTATAGGAAAGCATGACACAGGATATCAACTTTGCTAGTATGGCGAATTTTATTATTTTGTATTTTAAATTTTAAAATGTCATAATTTTTATATTACACATTTGATTTTTTAAAACTTATATTTTTAAAATTTATTATTTAACATATATCAAGATCAATATTAAATATAAAATAATTTTGTAGTGAAACAATTGTATATAACATTGTTATGCAAAATTGATAAAATATTAAATTTTAAAACTAGGAAAAATTTAGAAAAATCTCAATTTCGTACAGTTAAAAAAGTATAGATTTTAGTTTTACAAATTTTATATTCAATATTGTTCATTAATCTTGTTAGATAGGTTCCAGAAATATAAATTTTATTAAACACAAATGGACAAATTACACTAGTAATCCCTATGCTTTGCTCCTTGTGTCATTTTGGTCCCTACACTTTCAATTGACTCAATTTTAACCCTTAATTTTAAATTTTGTAACGATTTGGTCCAATTGATATCGTTAGTATTTTTAAAGAAAAATTATCACCAAATTGGTTAATGTGAACTCACTAGGTTGAATAAGTTTATAATTTTGCCTTTAAAAATATGGCACGTGAGACTTGTTTGCGTACTTTTCATAAAAAAAAAAAAATGTTAAAAATTGCAATTAATTTGGTCATTGTGTCATTTTAATCCTTATAATTTCATTTAAAAGGGCACTATAGGAAAGCATGACACAGGATATCAACTTTGCTAGTATGGCGAATTTTATTATTTTGTATTTTAAATTTTAAAATGTCATAATTTTTATATTACACATTTGATTTTTTAAAACTTATATTTTTAAAATTTATTATTTAACATATATCAAGATCAATATTAAATATAAAATAATTTTGTAGTGAAACAATTGTATATAACATTGTTATGCAAAATTGATAAAATATTAAATTTTAAAACTAGGAAAAATTTAGAAAAATCTCAATTTCGTACAGTTAAAAAAGTATAGATTTTAGTTTTACAAATTTTATATTCAATATTGTTCATTAATCTTGTTAGATAGGTTCCAGAAATATAAATTTTATTAAACACAAATGGACAAATTACACTAGTAATCCCTATGCTTTGCTCCTTGTGTCATTTTGGTCCCTACACTTTCAATTGACTCAATTTTAACCCTTAATTTTAAATTTTGTAACGATTTGGTCCAATTGATATCGTTAGTATTTTTAAAGAAAAATTATCACCAAATTGGTTAATGTGAACTCACTAGGTTGAATAAGTTTATAATTTTGCCTTTAAAAATATGGCACGTGAGACTTGTTTGCGTACTTTTCATAAAAAAAAAAAATGTTAAAAATTGCAATTAATTGGACCAAATTGAAAGAAATTCACAAATTCAGGGTCAAAGTCGAGCTAAATGAAATTATAAGGATTAAAATGACACAATGACCAAAGTACTAGGACTATCATCACAACTTACCCAAATGTATATAATAAAAGTTTGGACAAATTGTAGCAGTAGTCCCTGAATTTCGTTGCATGTATCATTTTAGTCCTTTCAATTTCAATTGGCTCAATTTTGATCCTTAATTTTAAATTTTGCATTTATTTGATTTAATTGATAATGTCGTTAGGATTCTTAATGGAAAGTTATTACTGAATTTGTTAAGTCAAGTCATTGAATTAATTAAATTTACAATTTTTTTGCTAAAACCATGAGGCATGCTGCTCATGTGCGCATTTTTCAAAACAAAAATACTAACAATGTAACGCCCTGAAAATTGGGCAGGGTATATCTATTTATGCTACAAAACACACCTGATAGACAAACACATATGTATAGCTAACTATTTCATACATCCATTTTCATTAAATCCCAAATGCCAAATACATGCTATTCACATCTCAATGCCCCAGTTCCAATCCCAAGCATACATTTTACAACAAGTATGAAATGGAAGCCAACCAGATAATAAGTGCCTACAGGATTACAAATTTATCCAAGAACATTCTTGGTTACACAAAATGGAGTTTCAACTCAACGTAAATACAGCCCAGGGCTTACATTCAACAAAAAACAATAAAACAAAAATGAAGCCTCTGCTCCGAGTCCTCCAAAGTCAATGCCTTGGCGGAGGTATAACACCTGTACCTGAAATGGTTTCCTTTATAGGGTGAGCCACAGCCCAATAGAGATATACTACACAACATATGAACCATGACAAGACTAAAGAGGAGTCAGCGCATGCCATGCTCATGATAAAACAATTTATCTCTCTTTTTACAAAGCATGCAATGTTGAGATGCAACAACAAATATAAAACCATTTCCATTTTAAACCATATCTGTTACATGAATACAGGCTTTGTAAATCTCTGGGTGAGTGTCTGTAAGTAAGCCCTAATGCACTACCACTATCATTTTTACCAGTAAATTGGAAGGCTCGACACCTAACCGCACGGTTCTACAACCCCTATCCAGATTCACCAAGTATTTATCTTTTTACAAACAGATTCATTTCCAATAAAATGAATGTAATGCAATGTCCAATGCAACAAATGAGGAATGTGGTTAATTTACCTAAGTCTCATGCATTTCTACAACAATCATGACTATCCACCACCGATAGTCCAAAACAGATATTTCTAAACAAATATTTAAACAATTAAATTCCAAAAATTCCAATAAATACAATCTATTCCACATCTCATCAAATATGAACAATTACACTTGTTTTCATATCACAATCATGTCCGGTAACCTCTCAAGGACCATTTCTAACCGTGTCAGTTTTATTCCAATAGATATATTAAGTAAAATAATACCGTTAATGCCCAAGAAAACATCATTTTCTTTTCAAACTCATACTCCAAGCATTATTCAACTATGACATCCTATTTTGATCAAAAACTCCAAAAGTTAAACATAATTCCTTTGTTTTCTTTAAAAATACTCTTTTGGTTGCAAACTAGTAAAAATTTCAAAACCGATCGAGTCGAAGTCCGTTTTTGTTGAAATTTAAAACATAGCTCTTTCATAACCTTACAAACATATTCCAAGTTTACACTTCCGCAATTTGGGCATCAACTCTTTATTTTTCTCAAAATTTCTCTTTTAAGCAAATAAATCACAAATTTTCTAAAAATTCTAATTAAATTATATACAA